ATATAATATGAATTTAATATGAATCTACAGTGAAAGACAGTTTTGTTTGTTTTGTTTTTTCATCCAACAACCCCAGAAAAATGACTCAGGACAGTATTTCTGAATGCACGGTACGATGGTGGCTCAGTGATTAACTCAATCGCCCAACAAGAAGTTGGCCCTGGGTTCAAACCTTTGGAAGACCCTTCTGCACATGTTCTCCTTGTGCTTCCTCTAGAACAGGGGTGTCGAACTCCAGGCCTCGAGGGCCGGTGTCCTGCAGGTTTTAGATCTCACCCTGGGTCTACACACCTGAATCAAATGATTATTTCATTACCAGGCCTCTGGAGAACTTCAAGACATGTTGAGGAGGTCATTTAGACATTTAAATCAGCTGTGTTGGTTCAAGGACACATCTAAACCCTGCAGGACACCGGCCCTCGAGGCCTGGAGTTCGACACCTGTGCTCTAGAACTCCAGGAACTGTTCCTGAAAACAAGGCTAAGTAATTCTGTCTGGATGAGTACTTTTGCAAATAAAAGTTCAATATAAAAGGAAAAACTGCATCATTCAGCCAAACAAATGCATCTTAGTGCATTCGTGTATAACCCCTGTCAATATTTGAAGCACGAATCCGAGTGAGAAAATATAAAAGGCTTTTTAAAAGGGGTTTATAGGAGAAGGTTAATAGCGTTATCTCTTTTAACTGAAATATTGCCTCCTTTTGACGTTACCAGGAAAGTAGTGCAACAGGCAGAAATAGCCGTGGTAATAAATCCATGATCTCATCACTAGTAGTGTAATTTCAACACTGTTTGCCAACCGAAGTACATATAGTTGATTAGACAAGTCTGTAAATCTAAACTGACTAGAAAGCTTGTGCCACACTAAAACCAGTGTAACAGTGAACTGAATTACAGCCTCTGTACTGACTTATAAAATAACACAACCAAATCTGATCAGAAGTGAGGAAACCAGTCATCTGTTAAAACCATTTATTTTGCTGCACAAACACTCCTCAGATTTTGATCATGTGAACACTGATGATAATTCTTACAAACACAATCTGCACATAATCTGCTGAATGCACTGTAGAGCCTGGCTTCAGATTTCTGAGGAATGAAGTGGTCTTACTGTGGAGAAACACTCAGAACTGTCCGGATGCTGGGAAACAAATACAAAGCACAAATTAGAAGACTTGCACCTATTAGTTTTTCATTTTTGCATCTAGTTAGTAATAATTGAGAAAGTATGTACCATTTGCCGTGCTTCATCAGTTCAATGGCATCGTTGACCTGGTCCAAAGTCATTTTATGAGTGATGAACTCATCCAGCTTCACCTTCTTGTTCAGGTAGGCTTTAACCATCTCAGGGACGCCATCCTTACTCTTAAATCCTGAGCCCCAGATATAAAAAGCATATTATAACATCAATTAGTCTTTTCTCACTTCAAGCCTTCTGGCAACTGTCACAGCACAGGAGATACTGTTCTTGGTAATTTGGTGTGTGAAACCAATTATGGAAAATGTGCAGATGTTTGAATGTGCTGAATACAACCTGGTGCTTTTCAAAGTTCTGCACTCAATGTGCTGATGTAAAGCTGAAGAAAGTTAGCTGCATATGGACGCAGAAACATCCCCCAAAACTGGAAGCTGTGCTCAGTAACGCTGCGGTGGTGGTTAAATTAAACTGCGTTAGTTAGTGTGGATGATCACATGTGCCTCACCTCCAAACAAAGAGCCCTTCCATGTACGTCCAGCAATGAGCTGAATGGGTCGGGCTGCAAAGTCGTGGAGATCAGTCCAGCCAACCAGCACGCTGACACCCCAGCCTTTGATACAAGACTCCAAGGCACTACGCTACATAATAAAACCAGCCAAATGTCAGCTGACTTGCAAACATAGGGTTCTTGACCATATTTACAAACTGATCCAGTCTTTATTTGAATTTGTCAGTCTGCCTCACCATGACTGCCACGTTCCCGACACATTCCAGGGAGTAGTCCACACCTCCGTTTGTCATCTCAGCCAAAACTTCATTGATGGGTTTGTTGTGATCCTTTGGGTTCACAAACTCCGTGGCTCCAAACACTTTGGCCTTCTCAAACTTGTCTGGATTGATGTCAACGGCGATAATCCTTTTGGCTCCTGCAGCCTTGCAGCCCATGACTGCAGCCAAACCCACAGCTCCCAGACCAAACACAGCACAGGTGGAGCCTGGCTCAACCTGAAGGAAAAAAATTAGTCAGGTTGGATACTCTGGACTTGTTAAGACTTCATACAGTAACAAACATCAATCTTTGCCTGCTGTCAAACCTATATACACACCTTGGCTATTCCATTAGCCCACCATACACACCTTAGCAGTATTAACAGCTGCCCCATATCCAGTGCAAACCCCACACCCAAGGAGGCAGACTTTATCCAGAGGAGCAGCCGGGTCGATCTTAGCCACAGCCA